TACTTTTTTTTTTTTTTTAAGAAACGGGGTCTTTGCTAATTTCAATTCTCAAACACCACAGGAGTCTGCAATTCCAATTTTCTTTTCACAGTATTAATGAAGACTGGACATTGGCAATAGTCGCAGTTTTTCCTTACTCTTGAAATTTAAGAGCCATATTGAGGCGCTGCCAGGAATTATAATAACTGTCTAATGCACAATGTGGAACTGTGGCCAATTGTGATTGTTCCAGACAAGTTATTTCATAGGTGTGGTAACAAAAGGAATATAAAAATCAATCTCATCTAGTTTTATATATGCTACAATTCAGAAAGAGAGGTGTGTGTGTGCGTGTGCATTTAAGCTTCTTAATGAGGACAAGCACAATATACCCACCTCACTGATTGCTTTGAGAGCACCAGTGCTAGGCAGGGTGGCTGGTCAATTCCTGTCAGTAGAGTGAAGAAATACGGTTTTATGATCTTCTACATGCGCCCTGTCAAACCATCTATATTGCCATAACGGCAGCTTCCAGATTTGCAGGTGGCTCTTCATCTTTAAGGATTTCCAGCTTCTCAGTTTTATGGTCTTAAATCTAGATGAGCTGAGTGGTTATTGGCTTTTCATCTCCCATTTCCTGGGCAATGAAATAAGGCACTTCGACTATTCTGGCTGTTTTTCAAGGTGTAAAAGGTACAATAATGGAGACTTCTGAAAAGAATGTTTTCAGAGTCAAGAGATATACACATACATACATTTCTTCAATATCTCATGAACTGCTATTGGAAACTTGATATTAGCAACAAGCACATTGAAGACATTCATGATCCTGAGGAAGTTTTCAGTGAAACATACATATGATGGAAGGCTTTGTTTGAAGAGCAGGACATATATGTCATTGAAATAATAAATGTTTGCAGTGGAAAGCTTTACTATGATCCTTTTCTTCTATCCATATTTTAATCCTAACCATTCCCCAAGGACAGTGCACGCAGTTCTCCCTTTCTCCTGTTTATCCTCCCAACAACCCTGTGAAATAGGGGAGGGCTGAGAGAGAATAGTGTGCACAGAGGACACCCAGTGATCTCCACGGTTAGCAGGAAGCAAAGCTGTGTCTCCCCAGTGCTAGGAACTATGGGAAATATCCTAACAGATGGTTCTTAGCACTCTTACAAACTTACAACAGGCAGCCTGTAAAAAAATTGACAAGAATAACTGGATATTGCTGGGAAAGTTATTCCTTTTAGTACAGTGATTAATAAAACAAAAAGGCATGCTTTAGCCTCAAACCCCTCATCCCCATCCTCCGCACCTCACGTTACAAACAGCTACTCTTAGAACACCAGGAACATTTTCAGTTAATTAAGTGGTTGTGTCTTCTTTAGACAGATGGAGTAAGTGAGATAATTGTGAAAAGATGCCTAAAATGAAAGAATGCCAGAAGGCTTGGTTTTTTTAAAAAAAAACTGACTTTGCTTAAAATAAGATTCTTTGGTTTCATTTCTTAGGCCTCCATATTCAAAGGAACATTTCCCCATAAAAGGGAGCTGAAAGATGCCATTTAGCAGACATTAATAGCAGAGTTAATTGACAGTGTTTGCCTCAGATGCTGGTGTTCAAAGGGAGGACAACTTTTAGCCCATCAGGTAGTGACAGAATTTATTCAGTAGATTCCATTCTTTCTTAGGTAGAAATTAATTTTCAAAATCACATTTAGTCAGATAACTCTCTCTCAGTTTCACTCACGTGGATACACTCAAGAGTCTTTATGTAGTCAGAGTGAATTGTCTTACAAAACAATTGATGACACATCCAACTCAGATGAATTTCCACCACAAGTACAATGGAGAGGAGGGAGAAAATCTCTGTTGTCATTTCTAACTGATTTAAAATGGACCCCTATTGCAAGTTTGTGAAGCTCAAGGAAATTGAAAAGCTCTACAGCTTTGAACTGAAAACCTGAGCATCCAGTGTAGGCTTATAATCAAACTATACATGAATTGACTCATTTGAAATGTGGTGTTGGATGAGAATTTTACGGGTATCGTGGATCACCAAAACGACAAATAAGTGGGTTCTAGATCAAATCAAACCTAAAATCTCCCTAGAAACTGAAATGACTATCAAGTAAGGCAATCAGACTTTGGCCACATTATAAGAAGACAGGAGACACTGGAAAAGACAATAATGCTAGGGAAAAATTGAAGGCAGCAGGAAAAGAGGAAGGTCCAACTGTCGCATAAATACTTAAAGTACTGCTTTTACGAGTCAGCATTATTGTTTCATGACAGCCCACTCTTTTAAAAGACAAATTCAACTTTTCCACCTTTGTGGAAAGTGACTTGGAATGATACTAGGTAATGATAGGTTCTAAGAGAAGGAGTCTTCATGAAAAGAAGAGGCAGCTCAAGACAGTCGAAGGCCAAGCAGATAGCTTAACTACACTATGAGAGAGCCACTGTGGCACAGTGGTTAAGAGTGTTGGACTAGCATCTGGGAGACTGAGGTTCAAATCCTCACTCATGCCATGGAAGCTGGCTGAGTGACCTTGGGGCAGTCACACTGTTTCAGCCTCACAACTAAGAGGAAAGGAGCATGATGCAAGCCGCTATGGGTCTCCATGGGGAGAAAGGCAGGGTATGAATGAATTAAATAAATAAATAAATAAAGTATGAAGAACTCTGACATCTTTATAAAGAAAAATTGCAGAAATTTTTTGGATGTGAAGAATAGCATTGCGGTATGAGCCTTGGATTTGAAAAAGGCTATGCAACATGCTGCTGATCCATGTGCTTATGTTATGCCCCAATTTGAAATCCCACTGATTAGCTATTTGGTGCCGAAAGGGGAATATGAAGGAACTAGGTCTACCCTGCCACAAAGACACAGAAAACCGGAATTACTCATAGGCGTAATGGGCAGAATGTTAACCTTTGTGAAAGGTTTCAGTGCATGCAGAGCCAGCTGTTGGATCTGAGAAAGAAGCCCATCTGTGTCAGTGTTTACCCATCCAGCTAAGTTTCTACCTGACAGAGCTGCCTCCTGTGTGCATAATACCCGGAGCTGTATCGGGGTATTTATGTACAGAGACACATTCTAAGGGCAAAGCATATAGAGATACATTTTGCTCTGAATGTTTCCAGAGGTAATTTGGGATGTCTTGACTTTTTAATTACTGAAGGAAATGTCAGCCAATCCAGGTTTGGCAATTTCAATTCCTAACTGGAAAATGAAACAATATAAGCTGAAACTTGAGCTCTTCATTTCAGATTTTGCACCGAGAAAACTGACAGGCATTGTCTGATTAACTGATTTTATTGTAATAATTTTGTGAGATACTCAATAATAAATAATAAATTCAGTATTTCACAGTGTCTTGTGCATGCAGCCTTTCTCCCCCTTTAATTAGATTGGCTCTTACACTCTGTTTGTGGCGGGGGGGGGGGTCTTCCTTTGTGTTGTTATCATCTGCAACATATGTCATCAGACACCCATCCAAAAAGCCCTGTACACAATTAAATGTAACTGTTGGACTCATTTGACATACTGTACTTCTTATATAGGTCAACTGAAAACTGGAAATGACAACCAGCTTAAAGGGAAGTGCAGGGGTAAATATGGGGAACCTTAGAAGTAATTTTCAGTAAAGTTAATAACATTTCTCTGGGAGGCCTCACACCTCTCTAACTTGCCTTTGAATTTTCCTTAATACTATGCCATTAAAGGTATCTGAATCTGAATTTTCCTTAAAGTGAAATCTAGATTTAGAAAATGCTGTTCAGGTAAAATATCTGTAGGAATTGCAAGGAAAGAAAAAAAAAGGATTCCTGAAAGAGTATTATTTTATGAACCTCTCTTTTGAGGTCAAACTTGTAGGGCAGGCTTGATGGCCTTAAAGAAGTACAGAAGAGTCTTTCTGTACTCTGACTCATGCTGGTAGGTCATGAGTCTCCCAATAGATCTCAGTGATGTTACATTTTTATGCACCATTGTCTTTTTTCATTCCTTTGTTTTTCTTTTTGGTGTGTGAATATGAATTTTATTTATATGCATGAATTCAAAAAGTATTTGAACCTTTTGCAAAAATTTAACAATAATTTAAAAAATCAGGCAACAGGCAGGCTCTCAACAACTAGTGGCATGTCTATATGGGCTTTTCTTCAAGGGTTGGACACAATGATCTACTGCATCTGATCCCTGCAGTCTATACAACTGTGGATCTTCAACTCCTACTAACCCTGTATCTGTCTGTATAGCAGATGGAGGCAATAATTAGATCCAAAGAGTAATGCACATTTGTGAGAGAGCCACATGTGCAAGCATGTAAAGGAGACACTAAAGACACAAGCACTTTGTTTTAAAAGCAGCTTACCCTTTTCACTGTGGAAACTGCTAGGGCAAAAACAACTAGTAAAAACACATCTGTACATGTAGGTCACTTCTATGTGTTCATGCTGTTGGATCTTCACCATTATGTGGGACAGCTGCTCTCACTAACCCACATTTAGAAAAGGTACATTGTACAAACTGCTGGAAATAACTATTTCATAATGTATAATGGCTTCACAAGTTCACATAGAAAACTAGTACATCGAGAAGTCCATTTATGTGCTAGATTTCCAAAAAACAAGACGTTTTTGACATTTAGGAGGACTCATGTATATATTTCCCCCCCATCTGCATTATAAAGTGGTGCAGTCCCTGAAGGACTCTGCTGTGGCCTTTTCTGAATGAACAGATTAGTCCTGGGTTGCTAGCACAACTTCAAAATACTGCAGGAGCTAAGGAGTGAACTGTGCAATTTAATATTGGGGGGGGGATTTGTCCTATACTTCTGGTTTCATTCCAGATTACCAGACTGGGATCAAGGAATGTCCACCCATGGAGACATGCCCAGTGGCACATGGTTAATGTGACCTTGCCTGATCTATTAAATGGGTTCTGATGATATACAGACATAGAATGCACAGATGGTTTCTACTATGCACTGTATAAATGTTTCTTTCATCATTTACCTACAGCAAGTCCCACCAAGGCTGGAGGGAGAGGATTTGCAAATTCGGACGAGGTGGTCCGGGAATCCAGCAGCACCACTGGCATGGTGGTTGGGATTGTGGCGGCAGCTGCTCTGTGCATTCTCATCCTCCTCTATGCCATGTACAAGTACAGAAACCGGGATGAAGGTTCCTACCATGTTGACGAGAGTCGAAACTACATCAGTAACTCAGCACAGTCCAACGGGGCTGTGATTAAGGAAAAGCAACCAAACAGCTCTAAAAGTTCCAGCAAAAATAAGAAAAACAAGGATAAGGAATACTATGTCTGATCCCAACAGCCGAAAGAACAATTGTATAGAAATAGTCTTCATTTTATCTGAGACATAAAAACAAAACTTATTTACTTTACTTTTTATGAAGCACATACAAAGTTTAAAAAAATGGGAAAACAAGAACACAGGGAATGCAATCAGAAAGGAAAGACTTTTTTTAAAAAAAAAGGAAAGAAAAAAAATGAAATAAGCATTTCATGCTCTTGTTTCGCTGAAACAGGAGTCAATAATCCCCTAACATCCACAGTGTTTTCATTTACTCTGCCGTCTTTCTGTTGCTGGAATGTTTCGGAAGAAGATGTTGGTACTGCACATCCATAAGGCAAGGAGTATTACTACAACAAAACATCACCCAGCACAACACGAAGTGTAACAGACTGCAACAACAAAAATGAAATCTCTCTCGCATACACACACACACAAACATACACACAAAAGAAGCTACCTACAAGTCTGGATTTCGCCAAAGTGCTAGCACTTTCCTGAGGAGTAAGTTAGTCTTATTACCCGAATAGACTCTGCCGTCCTACACAAGCCCTCGTCCAGCAGACCTCGAAAGAGTTCGCCACCCAGTCCAATGAAGCAGTGATTGAAGCTGGGGTTTGAAGTGAAGTGCTGGCTTTTCTGAATAAACCACATTTTAAAAAAAGAAAGAAAACACTTTAATAAAAAAGCCCCTTTCTGGTTGTGAAGAAAAAGTATAGCGGCCTTATTTTCAAAAATAATAATAATAATAATAATAAAGAAAAGAGGAGAAATATAAGGCTTATTTTTCACATACCACTAACAAACAAACCTGAGGGCAAAGATGCAATCATTGGGGGGAAAATCATGCACGCTTAATATGTTATTACATATGTTTATATTAAAAAATACATCTATATGTGCTTTCTGGACTGTGATAAGTGATGTTTTCTAGCCTGTTGTATAGAAAATGCAAACTATATCTGCTCTTCAACCATTTTTGGTAAACTCAATGTTCTAAGTGTTGCTAGGTATAGAACGTTTTACCACATCTGGAGCAACCAACCTTTCTGTTTACTTTCGCAGCCATAAGAAACTGCCACGCTGTTTCTTCCTCTCCTGCAACTGATTTTTTAACTTTTTTTTTCTTTTCTTGGTTTGTTTTAATTTACAGTGCAGTGAATATACTAAGAGGGACATGTATGAATGTATATAAGAGTCAGCTAATTTTCTTCTTAACCTGTACAGCCTCCTCTCTTCTGTTGCAGTTCAGTTATAGTAGTTTGTATGAAAGAAGTGGATTTAGAAAGCAAATATATATAGATATAAACATCATAGTTTTCTTCTCCAATTGCCTATCCACTCCCAGTATACATCAGACAAACTTAATTGAAGTCATGTGGCTTCTGCCACCCAACCAAACTCGATACAAATGAATTATTAAGTGACCTTTGCACTCCAGTTCAGATCACATCATTGGCTGTTGTAGTTGGCTGCTCCCCAGGAAGTGAGGAAAAGGTCAAATTCCTTGGGATTCTTTCTACAAATCGTTGTCACTGTGTAGCGTTTGCCCAGCATTCATAATGCAACCACTAAAGTGGTGGTTAATCAGAGAATTCAGGTCTGTCCTTTGAATTACATAAATTCCTCACACTGAGGCTTTCCCCAGTTACGGGGAGGGGGGGGGAGAATTGTTTCAGGCATAATCTGCATGCAAAAACAAGATTTCAAGTGCACATTTTGTTATCTGAGGAAGTATTCTGTGTTGTTTTCCTTTAAAAAAAATTCTTATCCCACCTTGCCTTCTCTTCTGAGGTAAGTTGGTTTGGTGGTTCAGTAATTAACATGCTTTAAGTTTCTCCACATAGATATAAGTATAAACATTTAATTTTTTGGGGGGGTTTGATAACATGCTTATGCTGTATGTTAGCAATTAAAAGAAAAATGAAATGACTGCCCCAGCAGATCCCCAACAATAAGTCATTGTGTAACGCCTCACTTGCAGAGAGATACAAAGGGAATACATTAGGCCAAGAGAAAGTAGTTCAGTAGAGAATCAGCCATAGCTTGAAAGGCCTCCTGGGATGAGGAGAATGGTTCACACTTTACAGACAGGAAGAAGGAATTTAAAATTAGCTTTAACCAGCAGGACACTGTATCTTCTTGCGTGCTGTTTGCTGCCACTGAAGCAAAACCCTGGGAATCATGGGAAGGCTTGGTCTTCAAAACAGCAATATTTTAGAAATGTGTGCAAAACTGTTGTGTTATTGCCATCTTTGGAAACTGCGAAACAATTTGATCACACCGTATGTCAAAAGGTTGGGTGGGGGATGATGTGAATATTTGAAGGAAGTGTCAGCAAAGCGACGTAATCTAAAAACCATTTGCCCAATCACTCTCCTCCTGTACCATTTTCACAAATGACATGGGGAGGCCAGCAAGGGGGTCTGGCTTTCATACACAAAATGCAACAAGCTGCCAATGAGAATTTCATTTCTGTAACTGTCAGGATACGTGGAAGGGGAGAGATATTCTGCTCCTTGGAGTTCTCCACCACTGCCGCAGTTTGAGCCAACAGCAAGGTTCTCTTGTGGTTTCATATTGTCTCTGTTAACTCACCTAACTTGACCAAATTATTTTTCTGAGCAATTAACATGACTACCGAAAGAAGTAAGTAATATGGGATTGCTATTTCTAGAGAAGGTCAGTTAAAGCTGTTTTCTGGGGAGTTACTCCTGTTCTTCCTTGTTGATTTTGTGACTTAATAATGAACAAAGAAATGTTTGCATTTATCAGATGTTACAGTAGCTATATTAAAACACCTTCTCTTTTCAAAGTACATAACAAATACTTTAATCCCATCTCTGTAATAATCTAATTTGTTTGACTAAAGCTGCAATCCTATACACATTTACTAGGGAGTAAAATCCACTGGACCAAGTGAGACTTCTTTTGAGTAAACATGTTTAGGATTGTGCTGTGAGATGGCTTTGGGTTGGGTTTTTTTTAATTCCTGTATTGTGTTGCCTTTTTTAACAATACACTAAAATGTGTGAAATTATTCATTCCCAAAATATCAAAAAGAGGTCAGAAGCCCTTAACCTTATAGTGCTTTCTGTGATAGGTATTTACAATTTTTTTATTTGTTGCAAGGCCAATTTATCCATTATTGGAAATGCTAAGCAAGTGGAATTTACCGTTTTGTTAATAAAATGTTTCTTAATACAAATGCTGACTCATTATTTTCTAATCCCTTTGCTTCATTTGCCATAATATGTTGTGACTCCTACAATTTAGCTACAAGATCTAGTTTCCTCACTACCACCTTCCATTCTCCACAGGCTCCTAATTTATTTAGAAAGCTCATCCACATGTATATTGTTCTGTGTATGTCCTTGCTTCCAAACGTGGAAATGGCCATCTGCTGAAGAAATTATGTGACCCTGCAAAAGTCTCTGAATCAGGGTAACAACGTGCAGGACTTGCAGAATGTGTAACTGTGCAATGTTTCCTATCTTGTATTTGAAACTAAATGGGCCATCATTCTTCATACCATTTATGCCAGCGTGAGCCAGCATGGTGTAATGATTAAGAGCAGCAGACTCTAATCTGGACAACCAGGTTTGATTCCTCACTCCTCCACATGAAGCCTGCTGGGTTACCTTGGGCCAGTCACAGTTCTCTCTGAACTCTCTCAGCCCCACCTGCCTCACAAGGGGCCTGTTGTGTGGAAAGGAAGGGAAGGGAATTGTAAGCTGCTTTGAGACTCCTTAGGGTAGAGAAAAGTGAGGAATAAAAAAACAACTCTTAGAACAGTCGTCCTTAAATATTGTTTGATAGATCTTTGCTGTTTTGGTTTGTTTGTCCTTTACCACACAGCCCCCCCTCTCCATAGAAGGATGCTCCAGTTAAGGATTTTTTACCCCCTGGGTGAACTATAACTTTGAAGTCCCCCATCTCCTAAAGCTCACCATCAATATAAAGAGAAATGAGAAGTTTAGAGACAGAATATTTTTTTAAAAAAGAAATTACTTTCCAAGTACTTTGCCCAACCCCCCCCCCCCCCAGGCCGGGCAACCACCTATTGGGTTGGGCCAGCCATGGCTTGAATGAATTCTGAATTAAAACTCAGCTGCTTTCTTTTTCCTCCACTTGCATGCGAGAGAACATATACACAGGGATATCTTTGATTTTGTGCTATGTGTACTGCTGAAAAAGTAGTGCATCTGATTTAAATGTTAAAATGTCAGTAGAAAAATGTTGAGGATATGGTGGAAACTTTTGTTAGCATTTTTTATGCTACTTCCATTAGGGTCTTCAGGACCATTACTGGTTTATGGACCACTGTGTGCAGTCCAAAATATGAAGTCATGCAAAAGTTGCAGCATGCTATCAAATGTTAAAACTGATTGCTAACAATATGAAAAGTGAAGTGAGTAGTCTGGGCTCCTCTAGAACCCCAGAGTCTGATCAAGCATTGCCCCACCTATTCCCCCTTCTAGAGACACGCCCTACTGATGCTCCACTGTGTACAACATACAGAAAATACAACCACAAACCACTGCACAGTCTCAGATTTTCCTTTCATAAAGCCCTCCTGATCTATATATTCCCTGTTTTATTTCATCCTAAGAAAGGATATGTTCCCACACAGCATTGCCCCACCTATTCCCCCTTCTAGAGACACGCCCTACTGATGCTCCACTGTGTACAACATACAGAAAATACAACCACAAACCACTGCACAGTCTCAGATTTTCCTTTCATAAAGCCCTCCTGATCTATATATTCCCTGTTTTATTTCATCCTAAGAAAGGATATGTTCCCACACAGCAACCTAAGTATATGGTAGGCACTGTTAGAAATTTCAACAACTGTGGATTCAGGAATGTTACAGTGTATTGCAAGGTGAGAGCACAAATATTTATTCTTTTATCTACTTACGTTATTTATAGTCCACCTTTACCAACTCAAGGCAGATTACATATAGTGAGTCAGTACAATGAACACAATGAGACATTCAGTAACCAATGCATTAGGATATTAGAAGTCTGGAACCTCCAGAAAGAATAGCATAAGTATTCTCATGACACATTAAGTAATACAGAAATAACAGAAATAGAATCCTACTATACAGCATTATAGACCCCAGTTAGGGATGGGCACAAACTGAGGAAATTAGTTCTGTTTGTGGTTTTTGACGTGCCTGGTTTGCAGACTGTGAACCACCACAAACTTTTAGAGGCCAAATGAATGGGTGAGATTTGTGGCCCAGTACAATGGCCATCCCTGCATGCTACAGACACCAAACTCACAGGGGAATTCCAGCTGATTCTCCTCTACCTGCCCTCCAGGTTTGGTGATGAGTGGCTTTACAGTGTCTGAGTAACAGTCCCCCAAAGAAGGTGCCCCCAGGAAAGTGTTTTCTGGGGAAATGACCATTATTTCCCCAGAAGGCACTTTCCTGGGGGCACCTCCTTTGGGGGGGGGGTAACTCAGACCCCGTAAATCCAATCCTCGCCAAACCTAGAGGGCAGGCAGAGGAGAGTCAGCCACAGATTTCCTGCGAGTCTGATTTCTGCAGCTTGCACAGGATCCATTCTACAGATTCCTGAACCTGTGCCTGTCAAAATGATGGGTCATTTTGACAGGCGCAGGTTCAGGAGTGTGTAAAACAGATCCTGTGCGAGCTAGAGACATCAAAGTCACAGGGGACCTCCCCTGGATGCTCTTCTACATGCACTGCTAAGCCCCCCCCCCCAATAGCTTTGATGTTTAGATTG